TACGACGGTCGAACGACGATTAAACCCAAAATCGTCGTACAACCGTCGTAACGTTTGAACCGGATAGGCTCTTGATCCGAGGTACGAGGTTATTAAAGTTTAGACGTTACGACGGTTTTACGACGATTTTGGACTACTCGTCGTAAAACCGTCGTAAAGTTACGACGACTTCACGACGATGACATCACGACACGTGTCGTGTCATGCAGTGGACCGACTCTTATACAACCAAATCGTCGTAAAACCGTCGTAATGTTACGACGGTTTTACGACGATCACAAAATCTATATAAGGGACGCGAGTCCTCCCCATTTCGTCGCTCATTCCTCTCTTCTCCCCTCTCTCTCTACAATACTTTCTCTCTCTAAAAAAAAATCACTCCTTCTCTCCCTGCTCTCCAGCCATTACTTGTAAGTTTTTTTTTTTAAATTAATTTCATTACATATTCTTTTAGATTTAGGTTCAGAATTTAGATTTAGGTTCGGAATTTAGATTTAGGTTCGGAATTTAGATTTATCCGGATTTTGTTAATTTTAATAAAATTAGTAACAAATTTTTTTTTTCCTTTTAATAGATTCTGTCGATATGGCTCATCGGAAAAAGAGATTTCACTACCGACAACTCTTCGATTCTGACGATTCGGTTCCGTCTACCTCGGCGACCGGCTCAGCCATCCCGGAGTCCTCGGGAACACAACAGATGGTTTTCCAACCGGTCGTTGTTCCGCAGCCACCACCGCCTCCACCACAACCAGTCGAACCAGCGGCTCCCGCACAGGCCGAGCCTGATCACGATGATCCTATCCCGCCTATACCGTATGCCCAGTATACGGTACACGATCTTCTGGCGCAACCCGGTCGTGGAGCATGAACAAACTCGACCCGGATCGAGCTCCCGGCACCTATTGGTACGTAAATTTTCCCAACAATATTTTTAAATTAATTAATTTTTCGTCTAATATATTTGATATTAATTAACTATTTATTTTTTTATTTGACTAGGTTTACGACCGACAATGCAGTCGGTCGTAACGTTTCGGATATCATCAAGGGGTTTTTCGTACAACCCCATACCAGCTACAAGAAGCTGGATCGGGCCACACTTGACACTTGGTTCAAGTATTTTGCGGTAAGTACTTTCCTTTAATTTTATTTTTAAATTTTATCTTTTTACAATAATTACTAACTTCTTTTTTTTTCCTAGCAAAACTGGCATTGGGAACCATCCGCACACGGACGTGTGGAGACGGCCTTCAAGGAGAAGGTCAAATTCCGCCTCAACAACACCGTTTCCGACTGGAAACGGAAGTGGGAGGACGAGGGCGACAAGGCCAAGCCGCCGCCTATGTCCAAGTTTGTCTGGCAGGGCCTTGTCCAGTTCTGGTCGGATCCAACCAACCAGACTACCGCCGCCAAGTGTTCCGTATCTAGGTAAGTCGTAGTTAATTTCATTAATATTTACATTATTTTTTTTTTTTTTTAATAGATTCTAATCAAAATATTTTTCAGGAACGCTACTGACGATACGGGAAATAAGAAGAACGTCCCGCACACTTCCGGCCCGATTCCTTTTGCCGGAAGACGGCTTATGATGGTAAGCACATTGAAAAATCTTAAATTTTTTTTCTCAACTAATAATTAAACTCTTATTTCTTGATACTAATTAATTTTTTCTTTTTTATTTTGTAGGTCGAAGATAAAGGAGGAGAACTTCCTCCGATGACGAAGGTTTTCGCCGAGACGCATAAAAAGCGTAACGGCGAATTCACGGATCCTCGGGCGGAGGAGATCTACAACGCCGCATGTGCGGCGATCGAGGAGCGACAGACGCAGCTGACTCAGCAGGCGCGTCAAACGTCTGACGGAGGTAGCTCGGTCCAATCGACCCCGGCGCTGACGGTCGCGGAGATGGACCAGATCTTCGAAGAGGTACGTAATTAATTATGAATACTTTTTTTAATTAATGTAACTTTAGTTTTAAATTAATTATATTCCTAACCATAATGTTTTTATATGTTTGTAGGTTGCCCCAAAGAAAAAAGGGCGGGTATTAGGGATGGGGTCCATCCGTGATACCCCGAGAGCTACGGCGACTGGTCAAGTCCGGGCTCCGGCGGATCCGGTTATCCGCCAGGAGATCGATCAGATGCGGAACCAGTACGAGACGACGATCGACCGGTACGAGACGAAGATCGACATGCTCTACGGTCTTTTCGAGATCATGGGAGCCGACAACCCGGTACTCATGGCGCAGCTGGACAAGCTGAAGGCGGATGGGGTTCTCGGAGGATCGTCTGCCGTCGGGTCATCTACTAGGACTCGACCGCCGCCGGTGCAGACGGACGCGGAGATGTTCCGATCTCTCGGGGTCGACCCTCCTACAGCCGGAGCCGCAGATCAGGCGGCGGGACCATCAAACCGAAGACCCGGCAAAGAGCACGTCCAAGACGATGTCCAGGAGGCCGGTGACGGGATCGACGATATACATTTAGATTTAGATGACCTGTAGGGTTTTTTTTGTAAATTAAAATTTTTCAAATTGTAAATTATTTTTTTTATTTAAATTTTAATTCGAATTATTTTTTTTTAAAAATTTTCAATTAATTTTTTTTTATTTTTCATATATATAAATCGTCGTATAATCGTCGTAATAGATTTATTCAAACCGTCGTAATGTCGTCGTACATATTACGACAACTTTACGACTATAATATACGACGACAAATACGACGATTATACGTCCGAGATTGACGACGATTTTACGACGCAATGAAGAAATACTTTACGACTGATTTACGACGATTATTGCGTCGTACATTTTACGACGATCTTACGTCGATCATTAACAACCACTTAACGACGGTTTAGGTGAAGACCAAGTGGACACAATTCGATGTAAACTCGTCGTAAATTGTACGACGCATTTACGACGATTTTGTTTGCCTCGATGTTACGACGAAACAAAGTCGTCGTATATTATACGACGATTTTACGACGATTTGTCTATTACGACGATGAGTTTACGACGATTTTGAAATCGTCGGTAATCCGTCGTAATGGCCCTATTACGACGAATTACCGACCATTTCGGCCGTCGTAAAATGATGTTTTTCTTGTAGTGTGATACGTTTGTGCATGCAGCTTAGCCTTAAGTTTTGCAAGGGCAATTTAAATAGTGTGAAAACAACCTATACTACTGCTATAATTCGGGGTTTCGGACCATCCGGTCATGAGTCTCGATCCAAAGCTTTATAGATCGGAAAATCTATCTTTCCTCATTTAGCAAAAAAAAATATATATATTTCCTTCTTTTGTTATTGTTGTGCAACACCGGAAAAATCTATCTATTCCCAAAATTTCGTGGGTCGATATGGTGAACTACGACGCCATATTCGGTCGAGCTCGACGCAAGGCTCATTTCTATTTTGTGTTTTGTTGTGGTGGTGGTTGGATAAATCAAAACTAAGAAATGGTTAAGGTGCATGTACACATATTGGGCCTAATAGATTAGTGGGCCGAATTTGGTTAGGGATCAACATAATTTGTCATATGCAGAGACCTGAGCACTTTCAACTATCAAAGCAATGCCAAAAAAGGAACAAAATGTTCGTAAGTAAAGTCCAAAGAAGAAAAATATCCAAACATTGTGGGGATATTTTTGGGGCTGGAAATTGGATAACGAAGGAATGCTTCTGAAGCCATTTACCTATCAATTTTTGGACCGATAAGGTATTTGATTATCAATGGGCCCATCATTGACATTGACTTCTAAGCTACATATTAGTTTCCTCCACTTGCTTATTTCACTTTCCTCGAATAAGACTTAGATTTTCCGCTATGTGGCCAAAACTTAATTCTTTCTGTAAGCTCGATCGATCGTATGAAAGAGCTAAATCCAACACCAAATTGCATTTATGGAAAAACCATATTTAGAAATAATAAAAATAGTCATTTATTCAAGTGTAAAAATTACCTAATCATTTCAATTTAGTCAGTAGAAATAGTATCATCTGAATTACCTTCTGATTATAAAAGAGAAAAAAGTACTAAACTCTAAATAAAAATTGGAGGACTAATTCGTTCGGCTCTGATTTTTTTTGTCGGCCAGCTCTGATTTTTAGTTATAATAATGATATAAGATATAATTTTACGCAATAAGCCATTATCAAAAAAATATTACTACAACAATGTCTAGAAGACAGGAGAAAAAAATACCCGAAAATACAAAAAAAGGTAAAATGTGAGTCGATGTTTCTGATTAATTCTACGACCTTATCCAAAACCATCTCTGATGCAAAGGCGGAGGTACACGTGGCATCCATCTAGGCGATTAATACATCGGCTGCCTGCAATTGATGACCTGTCGAGTTTTTATGATTTCTCTCGTTCTCACGTCATCACTGCTTGTATTTGTGATTTACCTTTTTCACCCTTCCATTTCAAGTTTCATTACAAATAATTTGAATACAACACTGACGAAATCAAACCTGTAAAGTGTAAACCAGTCACATTTAAAAAGTGATTAGTTTTTTTTTTCCTCTCTCTCACTTAATTTATTGTTGTCTGCTCTAGTTGTTAGTAGTATAAATGTATAATCATTGCTCAACCTATAAGTAATTGACGGTGTCCTAATTTTAGAAATTGAACAAAGCACAGATATCATGTGTTTCACAACCAATAAAAAACACATTATCAGTGTCTTCCTTATCAGAATGTCAAAGCATACGGATCATTATTTTACTTTTCAAAGTATCTTTTTAACAGTATTCTAATTAAAACTGATAATTTCATTTAAAAAGATTTTTAAAAATAAACATTTCCAACAAATTTATATCAAAAACTTTGAGACTATTACAAAAGTCATATCTGTTCATATAGTAATTTAAAAAAATGTTTATATTATGAAATTATGAAAATTAGGAATTTGTTGGTTCGTTTATAAGAAAATCGCCAACTTTGATTATTTTTGTCCATAAATATACAAAGGAAGGCCAGCAGAGTTTTTTTGTTTAATCGTTCATCACTAATAATATTAGGCGATTGATGAAAGGGTAAAATTGGGAATTGAAGCAAAAACTGGGTTAATAAAATGACGGAGAGATTCCCTCACTCTTTTGATCTCTCAAGTGAAGAATCTCTCTCAATCCTTGTTCGTTTTCTTTCTCGTTGATCCTCTCTGCTCTTTTGCTTGTGAAGGAACTCTGCGATCTCTCTTCTTGATCGATCCGTTCCAATCTATCCAGTTTGGTTCTGTAACTGTTTATGCCATTCGCGATCATCTGATCTACCGCTCTCCGAATCCAATCGCAGGTCGCTGAAATCGTAGGTGAATCAAAAACTACTTTAGGATCTTCCTAATTCATTGATCATATTCAAAAGGGTTTTGATGGATATTTGTTATCATCAATGTCAGTTTTCAATTTCAAATACGCCGTTTGATTTTGTTTTGACTTTCTTTTTGGGGAATTTGTTGTTTCGTTGTATGGATCAGTGGTTTTATTCGCCAAGAGAAAGTCATATTCTGAAATTTGTGATTTAGAGAGATAGTGGTAATGTTTTTGATACTAAAATTACGTTTGCTTGTTGATTGTTGTGGTATTGAAGGAAAAGGAAGATGAGGTCGCTTCAGGCACCGGTTGTATGCCCTGCGATTCGTTCAAGACAAGTAGGTGCATGTGCTTCATCACTTGTTAACTACACTGGTCTGAAACCTAGGATTCTTAGAAGCCAGTTCTGGGGTAATCGGACAAGAGGCAACAAGCCTCAGGTTACTACGATCACTCTTCGTCTGCATCCTCGATGGTGCAACAAGAGTATCATCAAGTGTGTTTTCAGCTCCCATTCTGATGGTACCGGAAGCACCGCAGAGAATTTCAACGAAAACGATGAGGATTACGTTAACTCTAGTGTAGTGGAAGCTGGTAAAACCATGATTTCCTCTCTGGTTTTGATTTGGGTCCACTTTCGAGCTGATGTGTTTTTGTTGTTGTTGTTGTGTGTTTTGGAATGTTGTGTAGTTGAGGTTAGGAGTGGAGCAGATGGTTTCATGGTGAAGATGAGAGACGGTAGGCAACTACGATGTGTTCATAATAATCCTCAAGGAGGGCATTTACCAGATTATGCTCCACATCCTGCAATTGTGTTGAAAATGGAAGATGGAACTGGTCTTCTCCTTCCGATTATCGTGTGTACGTGAAATTGTGTATGAGTAGCTTAATTTTGATGATCTCAAAGTGTTGTTTTCATCCCATTTGTTTTTGTTTTTTTCCAATTGCAGTGGAGATGCCTAGTGTGTTACTTATGGCAGCAATGACCAACGTCCAAATTGTATGCTTTTATTTCTCGTTTTGTTTTGTTTCTCTGTTTGGATCAGTAAAGAGTGTTTGAATGGAGATTTTTTACGGGTTATTTGTTGCAGGCAAGACCCACCATGTATCAAGTGGTGAAGGAAATGGTGGACAAGATGGGTTACGAAGTATGTCTTATGGTTTAAGTCCCTCCTCCTTACTGTAATCTCCTTCTCTCGGGATTGTTCACTTACACTTTTCTTAACTTTTCTACAGGTTAGACTTGTTAGAGTCACCAAAAGAGTCCACGAGGCGTATTTTGCCCAGTTATATCTTTCAAAGGTTTGCAACTGGTGTCTTCTATGCAACTTCCATTCATTCCTGGAAACTCATACAATGTTATGTATTTAGTGTCTCGTTTCCTCTATTGAGGCTGCTTTTATGGCGATATTGCAGATGGGTAATGCCTCGGATTGTGTCAGCTTCGACCTTCGGCCTTCAGATGCAATTAATATTGCTGTTAGATGCAAGGTAATACAGAATTATGTGTACTTATCATCTGAGCTAAAACACAAATACGTACTCGCGGTTGAAAATTGTGTTATTCTTCTGTAGGTACCAATCCAAGTGAACAAGTACCTTGCATATAGTGATGGAATGAGAGTCATCGAGTCAGGGAAGCTATCACAGCAGACACCTGCTTCAGATGGTTTATTATTTACTGAACAAGACCGGTAAATTTCAGATGCCTAAAGATCAAATTTCCCAGATCAGAAACTCTTTTGCTGTGAATATGAGTGTCAAAAACTTAATACTTCTTTGTGCAGACCAAATGGTCAGGCTTGTCTTGATACGAAAGAGTTCAACATTTTGAGCAACATGATGCAAGCTGTTAATGAAGAGCGATATGATGAAGCCGGTAAGCTTATTGTCTATACTAATCAAGTTTAGTTAACTTCGATCCGTATTTCCTATGCATCTGCATTGCTTATCGTTAAGACTAGTATTTGTCTTTTTCCTAATTCTTGGTCTAAGATCGATACATTTTTGTTATATGATTTGCAGCTGAGTGGAGAGACAAACTTGGTCAGTTTCGGGCCAAACGTAACCTGAGGAAATACACATGAGAGAGGTACGGAAGTAGAAACAAAAATTAACGTACACTGACTCTTATCATTTCGATACTTATGTTTCTCATTTGGACAGCTCGATCAACAAGTATCGCCTTTGTACATAATAAGGGGGGATCAGAGTGAAGGAAGAAGCTGAGTCTCGAGATCGAAGAATGCTTCTACACTTGACCATTTCCCAGAAACAAAAAAATGTATAATATATTAGTATAAATGTAGCGTGATGTGTACATATTACTTATTGATCTGTGTCTTGTTACTTCTGCCAATTAAGCTCTGATTAATTCTAAGTCTACTCTTGTTCGAAGTTGGTGTTTTCGTGTTTTGGAGTATATAATATATTAAGTTGGAATTAAATGCAGTAGTTGTTTTAATCCAATAAAGAAGTCAAGTGGCATATGGAAATTATGGATATGGTTAACAAAAAATTGGACGAAAGAAAAACCAGATGGCCCTGCCGACATAACTAAAGTGTCTTTGTTAGAAAGTGGAAAACTGCGGTGTCTGTAAAATCTAATCTTGAAAAAAAAAATCAGAATAATTAGTTTTGGCTGAAATAAATTATAAATTTAATCGAGAAAGTACTTAAAAGTTCCTTTATACGATTCTTTTTTCCACCGCAGTTCGATTCAGTTTCCCCCCAAATACAGTTAAGATATTGGTCTAGTAAACTCAGTTGACAAACTATCTTCTAAATAAAATTCAACTATCAAAACTAATCAAAACCAATGAGTTATTTTAGGTGAATCGATCATAACAGGCAAGTCTATAAATAAACCAACAAAATGTAGTTGAAAACTTGAAATCCACTTGGAATGATGAATTTTATGTCCTTTTATGTTTTAGAAATATTATCAATAATTGGTCCGGAATTTTTGCAGTTTATATTAATAAAATTTTATTGAAAAATTATGGTATTCAAATAGCTTTTTTGCTTTGCATTATTTCTGGTGGTACAATTTTTTGTCGATTGTATTGAATTAAAAAAAAATATATATATATCAACTGATAAAAAAATATATCAATTGATTTACAGCAAATGGAAAATGGAAAATTTAAAATTAAAAAAAAAAAACAAAAGCTACATAGCCCACATCCATTGGAATCAAAACATCACAAATATCTTTTCAGATTGTATGACAACCACTGGTCAAAAATAGTCTCTATATATGTAAGAACTAATAAATGGTATTTAGTGATTTACTTTAATAATCAATACAAAATAGGAAATATATTTATTCTGTGATAGATACAAAATACAACAATCATATTTATTAGAGAAGCAATAATATATATACTTTTTAGTTGACAAAAAACAATGATAGATAATTTGTAAATAATAAATAAGCAATTAAATCTACAAAGCAACTTTTTTAATAATACAAGCAACTTTTTTTAATAATGAAAATCTATATTTTTCGTTTTAAAAAACTATTTCTATGTTATGTAACTAAATTTTGCAAGTTATGTTTAGATTAAATACTATTTTCATATTTACTAAATTGTATATTATATTACAATAAGTTTCGCACGCAGTTTTTTTATTCATTTTAAAATTGATAGTTATTATTAAACATTTACAATCTTGTAATTATACTTTAGTTAAAGATTTAGTCTAGAAAACATTAACATATACATAAATTAGTCTTCTGAATTTTAGCATTATACTAAATAATTGGTTAAGTAATTGAGAAAGTATAACAATTTTGCGCGGGAGCTTGTCTAGTATATATATATGAAAATCAAACTAGCTCAAAACAAGTTTTTAAAATAAAAACAAAGCAAGCTGGTTTAAGAAGAAAGAAAGGAAAAATTCACCAATGGTGGTTGTGTTTCCGGCCACAACTAAATCATTCTTAAGGTCGTAACAGAAGATTTTGACTTAACTAGGGAAATTTAATAATCAAAGTTAATTGGGGAAATTAAGTAATCAAAATTATAAAACCCATCACTTTACTTCTCCTTCTTACGTCTCTTTCACTTTCTCTCTGATCGCTTCTCTCTCTCTCCCTCTCGGGGCTGCGCAACCCCTGAGTTCTCGGATTCGTCTGGATTGTTTCTGAATTCCGATCGTTTCTCCTCATGTCGGGCCCTCTTGATTTCGCGAGACCTTGTGAGTAATTTTCACCCGATTGTGGCTTTTGCGAATTAAGCAATTCGAGTTCATACACATGAACTCTTAGTGATTTTACAGATTCCGGATTGTTAATCGAGTTTGTGAACTATTAGATTAAGAGAAATGTTGTACCCGCTCGTATGGGATTTTGTTTTTTGTTGGTTGCAGGTTTTGAAGGATGTTCGAGCAATGATGAGAGAAGAGAGCGGAGATCAGATTTCGAAGTCTCAGAGGATGAGAAGAAAACCAGAATCGGAACCTTTAAGAAGAAAGCAGCGAAAGCTTCAAGCAAATTGAGACACTCCCTGAAGAAGAAAGGAAGCAGCAGGAGAAGAAGCGGTGATCGGACTTTCTCTCTTACCATCGAAGACATTCACGATATCGAGGAATTGCGAGCCGTAGACGAATTCCGAAATCTACTCGTCTCCGAGAATCTGCTTCCTCCAAAGCTTGATGATTATCACATCATGTTGAGGTCATTTCACTCTCCCCAAAACTCATCGTTTTATATATGATGATTCCTTGTGTGTAATTTTTATAGCTTCTAGATGATGAAATCATCCTGTTTGCAGATTCCTGAAAGCGAGGAAATTTGATGTTGGGAAAACCAAATTAATGTGGAGTAACATGATTCAATGGAGAAAAGATTTTGGTACAGATACAATTATCGAGGTAAAGTTTTTTTTAATGTTTTTTTCTTTGTCTCTGCGTGCCAAATTCAAGTTTTTGATTGAATTGTGTTTTAGGACTTTGAGTTTGAAGAGGTGGATGAAGTTCTCAGATACTACCCTCAGGGTTATCATGGTGTTGACAAAGAAGGGAGACCTGTTTACATTGAGAGATTAGGAAAAGTTGATCCCACCAAACTTATGCAAGTCACTACATTGGAAAGATACATAAGGTATCACGTTCGAGAGTTTGAGAAAACTACTACCATCAAGTTTCCAGCTTGCTGCATTGCTGCTAAGAGACACATTGACTCTAGTACCACCATCCTAGACGTCCAAGGCGTGGTACGCTTAAACATAACCCTGACAATCTATTCCTCGTCTAGTGTTATATGTCCTGTATCTTCTTACTTTGAATTCTGTAATTTTATGTTTTGCAGGGTTTAAAGAATTTTTCTAAGGCTGCAAGGGATCTTATAATCCAGCTGCAAAAGATTGATAACGATAACTACCCTGAGGTTTGAGCTTTTTTCGCTATTGGTCTCTTATTAACAAATTGTGTGTATTGCTCGGCTTAGTTTAGGATAAACAAATAACATTGTGGTGTGACATTTAACATGTACGCAGACACTTCATCGTATGTTCATCATCAATTCTGGTCCTGGTTTTAAGTTACTTTGGGGCTCTGTGAAATCATTCCTTGATCCAAAAACAGTCACCAAGATTCATGTAAAGTTACCTTTCTCTCTACATATCCATCCACATTTCAATAAATTAGTAATTTACTATAATCGCATGCCATCAACGGGTGCCAATGTGTTCTTCTAATAGGTTGTTGGTTACAAGTACCAGAACAAATTACTTGAGATAATTGATGCAAGGTAAAGAATTCTCAGTCCTCCTTATTTTTGCACTTGTTTAACTCTCACGAGTCCAAAAACATGATATTTACTTCTTAAATATATTTGGAACTTGTTCAGTCAACTGCCAGATTTTCTTGGTGGCACTTGCACTTGTGTGGATCAAGGTGGTTGTATGAGATCTGATAAAGGTCCCTGGAAAGACCCAGAGATTTTAAATGTAAATCGATTTTCCACAACTTATTGTTTACTCTGAGCTATGTCGATCAGATTAACTCAGAATAGAGTAAATATTATTACCTAATTAACTGATTTCCCCACATGTAGCTGCTTCAAAGTGGTGGAACGCTCTGCAGGCATGCATCGATTCTAAACAGTGATTCCCGTATGAACTCATGCGATAAGCCAATTTTTTCTGGGGTAAAAGTCTTCCGGACTTACATGTGAAACTTGCTTTTTATAATCTCTTAGGTTCTTAGCATATTATTTGTATCTGACAGTTAAAGTATTGTCCCTTTTGGCTCAGATTAAAGTGAGTGACACCTCAACAGCTGAATCAGGCTCTGAGTATGAAGAGATGGCCTCTCCAAAAGGAAACAAAGAGAGTCATGTTCCCAAGTTGACTCCTGTTTGTGAAGATGTAAGAGTTTTCTTGTACGAAAGTGAACCACATTATGCACTCAGATCACTTTACTTAATTGCCTGGCCTTAGTTGCAGATTAGGACCAATGGTAAATCATATCCTACCGACTCATCCGAGTATGAGTCACCCATGGTGGACAAAGTTGTGGATGTTGCTTGGATTGCCGATGAGAAGCCCAAGACTTCAGAAGGTAAATGAGTTGAAGCTAAAAACTAAGCTTTTTAAATCAGGAATCGAATCAACGCAAAGTTTCACTGTAATGGAATGTGTTGGTGCAGGTTCCAAGAATACACCTGGTTTGGGAAAACTAGGACCGGTTAGTCATATCTGGAGGTGGCTAACTGCGTTATTTGTGAACTTGCTTACGTTTCTCATATCTGTGGTAGCTCTGCCACAGAGTAAAGGACATTCCCAGTCTGGTTCTTCAGTTGGTCAGCCAATCACTAGAGAGTCTCGTCCTCCTTCACCGGCTTTTTCAAATGTGAGAGAGAGAAATCTGGTTTCCTCTGTTGTAAATAGACTAGGAGATCTTGAGAAACAAGTGGAAACACTGCATTCAAAGCGACATGAGATGCCTCGTGAGAAAGAAGAGTTGCTTAATACAGCTGTTTATCGCGTGGATGCGCTTGAAGCAGAGCTCATCGCTACAAAAAAGGTAAGAATTAGATTTCAGTTCCGTGTTAATTTTTTTCCATTGGTTGATATAAAAGGAAATGTCTATGTTGTGTAATAACTTCATAATTTTTTTTTAATGATTCAGGCTTTACATGAGGCTTTGATGAGACAGGATGATCTTTTGGCTTACATAGACCGGGAAGAAGATGAGAAGTACCATCGGGTAAATCGATATTCCATTTATTTCCACCCATAAATTTGGTTTTGTTGTGTGGACATATTCTAAAGAAATATCGTTTTTCTTGGAAATAAGCAGAAAAAGAAACTGTGCTGGTGAAGAGAGAGCTCGGGTTACTAGTTAATGAGGAATGGTGGTGGTACTCTGCTTTATGAGTAGTTTGGTAATTTCGTATATACACCATATACTGTATTGAACAATGTTTTATATACCAAATTTAGGTCTCCTAGGCAAAGATTTGATACATTTGGGGGAAATTCCAAAAGATTATTTTCAGTTGATAATCAACGTATATCTTTATTTATATCAGAGACCATTTTCTCTCAGTTCGTGAGCAATTAAGCATCATTATGAACATTGCATATTTTCTAATGTTCTAACTAGTATAAATTAATTTATGTATGCATAATATAATTTAAAATTACAAAAATGTGTACGAATATGAACAAATGGGAAAACCAAATACAAGTGCAGGAAAAAAAAACCTAAAAGCATATACATCAGTGATAGAGGTTCACCAGAATATAATAATTTTTTTTTTGATTTTAATTTTTCTTTTTTTTTAATTCGAAAATTATAATTTTCAACCAATCAAGATGCTTCATTTCGGGATCGGGATGATACCGTCTTTTCAGGTTCGTCGGGATGATACTGTCTCTTCAGTATTAAGCTCTTTTGTCTCAAAAACTGTGCCATGAACCCCTCTTGATCCTCTAATGTACATGCTCTACCAAAATGGACCCACTTCACATAAAGCGTGATTGTATATTTATCCCACATCGGTGGTGAGACTTTTGAAGCTCCATCACCTTGCGCTATAAAACGAATCTAACTAGCGAAATTTCGACTTTTCTCGCGGCAACGATCTCTACCGCCGATGCTTCCGGTGAACAGAAACAAAGCTCTTTTATCTATCTTGAGCCAAACGAAATCACTACACCATACTCAACAAGTTCACGCTAAGGTCATAGTCCATGGATTCCAGGAGGAAGTTGTTCTCGGATCTAGTGTCACTAACGCTTATATACAATCGCATCGTCTGGATTTTGCTACTGCTTCTTTCGATCGAATCCCTTCTTGGAATCGGAATCGGTACTCGTGGAATACGATTCTTTCTGGTTACTCCAAATCCAAGAGTTATGGTGAAATCTTAAGTCTTTACAACCGTATGAGGAGCAATTGTGATGGCGTCGACAGTTTCAATTTGGTATTTGCAATCAAAGCTTGTGTTGGTTTAGAGATTTTAGAAAATGGGATGCTGATTCATGGCTTGGCAATGAAGTCTGGGTTGGACAAGGACGCTTATGTTGCTCCGTCGTTAGTTGAGATGTATGCACAGTTCGGTACTTTGCAATGTGCGCAGAAGGTGTTCGATGAAATTCCTATTAGAAGTTCAGTTCTTTGGGGCGTTCTAATGAAAGGGTATTTGAAATTTTCCAAAGACCCGGAAGTATTTCGTTTATTTTATCTCATAAGAGACACAGGTTTTGGGTTTGATGCACTTACTTTGATATGTTTGGTTAAGGCTTGTGGGAACGTTTTTGCTGCTAAAGAAGGGAAGTCAGTCCATGGATTATCCATTAGAAGGAGCTTTGTAGATCAGAGCGGTTATCTACAAGCCTCCATCGTAGATATGTACGTGAAATGTAGATTGTTGGATAATGCCCGGAAACTATTTTCAAGAAGTGTTGATAGAAATGTAGTAATGTGGACTACACTGATTTCTGGTTTTGCAAAATGTGAGAGATCTATTGAAGCATTTGATATGTTCAGGCAGATGCTGGGTGAATCGATTCTTCCAAATCAGTGTACTTTGGCGGCCCTTCTTGTTTCTTGCTCTAGCTTGGGATCTCCACGGCACGGGAAGAGTGTTCATGGCTACATGATAAGGAAGGAGATTGAAATGGATGCTTTAAATTTTACATCTTTCATCGATATGTATGCCAGATGCGGGAACATTCAAATGGCTCGGAAGGTTTTTGATGTGATGCCAGAGAGAAATGTGATATCTTGGAGCTCGATGATCAATGCTTTTGGGATAAATGGCATGTTCAAGGAAGCTCTGGATTGTTTTGATAAAATGATCTCGCAGAACCTAGTTCCAAACTCTGTGACATTTGTTTCCCTTTTGTCGGCATGTAGCCACTCGGGAAACGTCAAAGAAGGATGGAAGCAGTTTGAATTGATGACAAGAGACTACGGGATTGTACCAGAGGAAGAACACTATGCGTGTATGGTAGATTTGCTAGGTCGAGCCGGTGAAATCAGGGAAGCTAAGTCTTTTATTGATAGCATGCCTGTGAAACCAATGACCAGTGTTTGGGGAGCTCTTCTGAATGCTTGTAGAATCCATAAAGAAGTCGACTTAGCAGAAGAAATCGCAGAGAAGTTTTTTTCCATGGAACCCGATGAGTCAAGCGTCTACGTCTTGCTTTCTAACATATATGCAGATGCTGGGATGTGGGAGATGGTGAATTGTGTAAGACGGAAAATGGGCATCAAAGGATATAGAAAACCAATAGGACTATCTGGTATTGAAGTCGGCTAGAAACACTTAGGTAATAATTCTGAAGCATAGTTTGACGAAGAACGTATTGAGATATGAAAGCACTAACATAGAAAGATGATGGAAATTACTATGAGAGATATAGTTACTTGGTATACTTCAGTGGAGAAACCGAGTACCTGAGCATACGAACATATAATTCAAGTGCTCGAATCGGGTAAGAACAAGTAACGAGTCCTTTAATCAACGCGTTGTAGACGAAATCGCGAGATCAAGATGGTTAAAGGAAGTGGAGGCAGTGATGAAGTGGTTCATAACGTGACAGTCCTGATTTTGGCTGGTCTTAATCATGGCAGCTAAAGCAGAGCTTAGGGATCGAGCATTGCTTGATAAACTGTAAAATTGGAAGATTCTCGGAAAGTGAAGTCGAGCGACTTCGGAGGAGAAGAAGATGTAAAGACTGTACCCCAAAGCTACGGATACTAGCCAAATCATTCATGTAAATGTTGTCTCTACTACGTCAGATTATGTAATTTCAGTGGATATATCAGTGGATACATCATATTTATTTGATTGACATACAGTAGAACCTCTATAAATTAATATTCGATAAATTAATAATCATTATAAATTAATAAATTTTGCTGATCTCAAGTCGGACAAATGTAAAAATTCATCAAATTCAATAAGATAATATTTTTAAAACCTTTGTGTAAATATATGGTCCTAACAAAAACATAAATTAATAATTATATAAATTTATACAAATGTATGTAAATATAGTATTATAAAATATGACTAATGTGTTTGTTTTTACTTAAAGTTGAAATCTCATTGGTTCTCATCTCTCTAATTATTTATCAGTAGCTCTTATTGCTGTTTTACTATATACAATCAAAATTTATGATAATTTTTTATGTGATAATTGATTTTTAACCTGTAAATGTTTTTAAATGCATTTAATGTTATCTTCAATTTTATTAACAACAATACTGGTAATAGCTATGGTTTTTTTATAAATTTTAAACTTATGAATATGTATATTTTTATATGAAAAATTAATATGGTGTTAAAAACTATTTTATTGTGATAGTTATGATTTTTAATTATAATTTATATTATGAGATTTATTTTAATTTTAAAATATAACATTATTTAAAAAAGTTTTAAAAAATTATATACGGAAAACAAATTTTCTCTATTAATAAAATATCATGGTTCCAACCTTATTAATTTATAGAAGTTTTACTGTATATTGAAATATGTGGGGCGACATAATAAAAAAAAGTTACCCATCTTTATTTATATTATTAGTAATAAAGATAAACGTTTTAAAACATAAGCATAAAGACCACCGAATCTTAAAAAGTCACTGGCTCCTAAAATTATCTTCCCAGTTATATATGTTTTTAATACTTGCTAGTTAACTTTTAGCACGAGCCATAGACAGCACAAACAAGCCCTTGCCATTGAACAGCGTCGTTTTCCAGAACGAGACTCCTCTTCTTCTCCATTATGAATTTCTCTACCTTCAAACGAAACTCCTCACTGCTCAGTCTCTCTATCGCCGATTCCGTCCTCCGAAACTCCGTCACCGGCCGAATATTTTCCTTCTTCGTCTTCGATTTCGTCCTCCTATAAACTCCCTTACATTCTGTTGTTAACGCCTCCCGATCAGCCTCCGCAGGCACCTCCGTGAAAAGCGCCGGAACGATCTGCTTGTTTGAATCATCGTTCTCATCGGAGGCGTGTTGTTCTGGTTGATCGGTACTAACAATAGTACTTCTCTCGTCGTTCGAATCGTCATCCTCCACATCCTCACCGGAGGCGGTTACGATTACGGCGGAGGAAGAGGTGTATTGATCGTACAGATCTGGTTCGGTACTAACAGTACTTCTCTCGTCGTCGCGTTCGCGAGATAGAAGGAAAATTAAAGCGACGATTATGTTAGCGAAGACGAAGACGACGGAACGATTGGTTACAATGACCGCTCCGGTCCGGTGAAACCAATCGCCGGCAGCTCGAAGTGAAATCGCCACGGTCGGGAACCACATGTAGCAGAAGGAAGCTACGGCGGCTGAACGTAGAATGTTCCGGAAGCGTCTGCGGTTGTTGTACCTCCTCATCGCTTCCGCTTTCTCCGCCTCCACGCCGTGGAATTCGAACGGCTTCGTCATCGTCATTTCTTTTGACTGTCTTTGTTTTGTTTCCGTGAAAACAGTGAAGGTATAAATGCGTTTGCTCTATCTTTTGATTTTAAAGTTTTGAGAAATTTAAGACGATTGAATATTTCGATGACAAAAACGATTCTAATCAAAATTTTCCGGGAAAACTGAAATCGGGAAAGTGAAGCGATTGAGAGAATATTTTGCTTGGCGAAGGAGATATATATACACTGACACTGATACGGAAATACGATCTTGGTCTTTTTATATGGTATTCGAATTAATGTCCCCTTTGCCTTTTGCTGCTTAGTTCAATATTGTTTGGCATTTTCCTAACAACCTATATATTGTTTTGGAGTTTTTGATTTTGCGGACATTATCCAATATTCAATAATGATAGCACAATACAATTTTTTTTTTCATTTTTCCCTTCTTTTTATTATTAAAATGTAGGAAAGAACTTGGAGAATTCTTTAACTTCGATATGTTTTGTCTTCTGTCCTGATTATGAAAATAATGATTAGTTGTCTACCAAATGCCATAACTAATAACTATGCTATCAATACCAATATTTTTTCTATATGGAAACTTGCATGTACATAAAGAGATCCATTCTTAATGTTAGTTCATTTACAGATCTAGTTTCCTATCGTATATATACTGAATCAATTTCAACTTACTATAAATGAACGCTACCTTTTTCTAACAAAATATTCGACTGCATATTTGAAAAAGAAAAATCATAATAGTATATAAGTTTTAATTACTTGGACATGGACTTGTGTAAGCCAAAGTAGCCCATGAAGCCACTTGTAAACACTTTCACAAAAAGACACGTGAAAGTCACGCGCCGTCAAAGTAAAAGAGGATTAAACTTATCCAGACTCGCATAATGATGTGAGCAACGGTATTAGCTAAGCCTGCTCACATTTACGAGCTTCATGGATTTCGAAGGAAATGGTCGAGAATAACGTGAGATGTGATGAGTCACGTGCATGAAGAGAACTTGTTACACATAGGATAGGGATAAATGTGCAAATGTTGTTTTAAAAGTTCTCAATGCGGAATTATTGTAATATAGACGGAGCTAGTGGCATTTTATTGCAGGCAGAGACTGGTTTGGTATAACAACGGCGCTAAACACTTTCTGATCAAAGCGTCGCCCCGAAACAAACGATTAGCATTATTTCGACATAAAACAATTGTATTATCCCAGCAAAATTAAAATTTATTTAACCCAACAAGAATCGAACATAATGAATTATTGCAACATAAACATAAACAACCCAATTAGATACGGTTAGACATAATGTTCTACTAACCCAACACAGTGTCTTTCATCATTCAAATGTTGGGAGACAGGAAAACACTACTTTATCTTAAACATTTCATTTATCTACATAAAAACATTTTTATTTATAAATTTTAAGCTTTATGATCTATACATACCTGTCAAGTAATTATCGCAACTTCTTCTATGCTTTCATTTTTTATAAATTTTGAGTCTATACTTCTCTTTCAAGTCAGTACCGCCAAAGTCCATTCTTTTTATGATTACTTTTAACTCTACATGTCCATTTTAAAGTATCTAAACATATCAAACCCAATTTGTTAGGCTCATTTTTACTTCACTAACAATTTAGCAGTAAAAGAAAACTCTCTGAGCACAAACAAAAACATACTTCTATAAAAGGCCCACTAACTAGTGTTTGCCTTTCAAACGTCCAATGAAAACCAGACCGTATTGCATTTGGGTATGGCAACAGAATGGCAACCATTTGAGTTCTGTGCTTAGAGTTTGATGTGACTGTAAAATAAGACACTGCATCACAGTTCATGTTCTGCCTGAAAAACGTCAGCAGACATTTGCATAGACCTTGATCATGTTCAACTTTCTGCAAATCCGATACTAGAAAATGAACTCAAGCAGCTAATCAACACAACATTCTCACACCAACAACTTACACCAATCATTATGTTCATGTCATAACCTCATAGGATTAAAATTATCACCATCCGTGGCAAATAAGAAACTATTCTATGAGCGTAGTGACAAAAACACAAGAATCAGTTGCCATGTTCCTAATTTCTCACTCTCAGTGTATCTACATTAATATCCATCAAATTCAAGTCAAACTCAAGATTTTGACTAGTTAAAAGGTTTGTCTTTCAGATTTCTACTTATAACACTGATCTGAGAATCAGAATTAATGATCACATAAGATGAATCAGATTCCAGTTTCCTTCTCAGTTTCTACAACTTTCGAGGAAACCAATTGCATTCAGAAGCATAATCAATTGCATTTAGAAGAAATGTAACTCACAATTTAACAGCCTAAGCTTTTCGATTGAATAGAAAATACACAAATTCAAGATTTACGAGAACGCTCGAGAGACAAACCAAAACGAAAACTCCGATTTATCCTCTCATTATTTCTTCTTCCCTTTACCTCCAGCCTTACTTTTCTTGGTGGGCAAGACGATTTCTCCTTTGAGCACAGGAATCTCCATAATCTCAGAGAGCCCAGCGAACCTCTTACGGAACTTCTCCACCTGATCGGCGTCCACCATCATAGCCGAGCGGTTCCCGAGGTAAAACGGATGGTTACCTGACCAAACATCAACGACGTACTCTTTCTTAGTCCCTCCGGTAGTCATCACCAGCTCTCCGTTGCAGTAAACCTTGGCGTCCTCGTGAAACTCTGGGTGCAAATCCTTCTTCCTGCACGTTACTTGAACCACCACCGGATTGCTTCCCATCGGTTTTTTCCCTCCTTTCGCTCCAATCGCTGCCGCCATAACCGGCTATTTCGCGAAACCCCCAACACGAAATTTAGCGATTTTTGGAGGAGAAATAGACGGAGAAAGAAGAGGAGGAATTTCGAGATTACCTTTCTAATTACCAGAGAAGGAGCAGACGGATTAATCTGGAGAAACGAGTTCGGAAGAGAAACCGCCATTTTTGTCGCTTCGGCTGCTACTATCTCTTTCTCTCTTTTCCTCTGGTGTACAAAGCACTTGGCTGGATCTTAACGATGGATAAGGGAATGAGGGAAAATGAAGATGATGAATTTTCGGCGGATTTACGTTTATAGCCCTAAATACTTTGGGTGTATACACGAGCCGGGCCCAAAGTTCTGAGGGTAGGAAGGTCATTTACGTAGAGACCCACTTTTGTTCTGTTTAATCACTTCGTCGTCGATCTAACGCTTCATTTTGTTCCTTTTTTAAAAGCAAAATATATATAGACGCAGATACATACAGAGTCCGAAGGTTTCAAGTTTTCAGCAGTGAGCATGAGAAAGGAACTTTGCAGAAATTTTCAGCGTGGCAGGTAATTTCAATGTTCTTCATTTTCTTCATTTTTCTTTCGTTGATTTTAGGTTCCTTTGACTCAATTCGTTACTTGTGCGCTGTTTTTAAAGAGCTTTTCAAGTTTGATTCAACTACATAAATTTAGGTTTCCCCTTCTCTTCGTTTCCGCCATGAATGTCCATTTACTTGCTTCGGAATTTGTGGGAAACTTGTAGTGTTAGAGTCGTGTTTCTGTCTAAGAGTGGAGAACTAAATATTGGATTCATCGTCCCTTGGTGCTGTTCTTGCAGTTGTAGGTTTGGGGAAGGATGTAGATTTCTTCATCCACAGCAAGCTAAGCCAAATAATCCCTTTGGGTTTGGTACACAATCCAGAGATCAGCAACCACAACAGCAACAACAGAAGAGTTCTAATCCTTTTGGATTTGGTGTACAAGGTGGTTCCAACAGACCAAATCAATTCCAGGTTCTATTGGTTTTCCTCCTTTTAGATTAAGTATTGTTTATTTGATAAAATGTGCTTGCTCTTGATTCAATGGTGACATGGTCATGCTTTTGCGAGTCAGCCTTTTGAGAATAAATGGCAACGAACTCCTTCTACACCTGGTGGTGGTGCTTCTACACAGCAGACTGGTAAACAGACGCAACAGGCAGACCATAAGTGAGTAAATATATATATGTTATGCTTATGATTGTGCTAGTTCTAACATCCATTTTTAGCTGTTTGTTTCTTTGGTAATTTACTGTTCTGTCTTGGTTACTTTGCACAGATGCACAGATCCTGCTGCGTGTAAGCGGGTGATGCAAGACGATTATAAGAATGAGAGACCCATGTGGAAGCTCACATGCTACGGTCACTGGAAATAGTATGTATTGCTTCATGATTAGATCCACACATCCTTTGATCTTTAATCACTCTATATAACGTTTTCTGATCTTCTCTATGTTCCTTTTTTTTATTTCTTAGCTTTCCTTGTGACGTTACCGGTGATATCAGCTACGAAGAGTTACGTGCGATGGCATATGACGAAGCTAAACGAGGAATACCTCTACAGTCTATTGTGAGATTAACATTTATTATAGGTTTTACACAATCAAGTCCTTTCCACATTCTACTTTTTCTCATAAGACATAAGTTGATTTCATCTTTTGCTGGCTTATCAACGATGCATTATATAGGTTGAGAGGGAGAGGAATTTGCAGAATTCCAAAATAGCTGAGTTTGAAAACTTTCTACGGAATCCTTACACAGGCTCTGTTACCACCAATCAAAGTCCGTTTGCTGCACCTACTCCTAGGATCTTCCCACCAGCTAATCAGATAAATTCCCCTCCAGCGTTCTCGAGCTTCAATCAACAACCCGCATTCCCAAATACCAATGGTGCTGGAGTTAGGTATCAGCTTTTGTAGGCTTTCTCCATTATCTACATCCTTGTAGTTTGTGTTGCTTTCTTGAACTTTCGGTTTCCATCTTTCTCTCTGGCCAACTATTCATCCACACAGTTCATCTGGACCTCCGAATCCCTTTGCACGCTTTAATCAACAACCAAATGCCTTCAGCGTCAACACTCCTCAAACTGTTCCTTCAGGTACCTTTTTTCCCCGAACTTTCAGGTTCTATTTTTGAAGTTAAAATTTGGTTGGAGGCTGAGACTCCATTATCTTAAACCTCTTTTGCAAAACAACAAATGATCACAGGTCCCTCGGGTTACCAGAGTCAGCCATCAGTAGCATTCAAACCAGCGTCGTTTGGACCTGGACCAGGAATTGCCACTGGTCCCTCTGGTTTCCAGAGTCAACCATCAGTAACATTCAAACCAGCATCGTTTGGACCTGGACCAGGACTCGCCCCAGCTCCACAAAACAGTAACATGTTTCCTTCAATAACTCCGACCCCGGCTCCTAACACTTCCCACACTAATCAGAACGGATTCAACTTCAATTCCCCTGTTGCATCTTTCACGGCGCCTGTTACAGACACAACAAATACATCTTCCGGGTAAGTGCTCATTCTATTTCCAGATTTTCCACCGTGAAAAGTAGATCATCAAAATATGCTATAATGTTTCACACGTTTCTTACTTGAATCATGTGCGGAAACATTGCAGAACCGAGCTGCAAGCAGAAGGTGCTCCTGTTGATACTAGCATCTGGTTAAAGGAGAAATGGAATCCTGGAGAGGTAAACGGCTCAAAAATCCTTTAAGTTAAATTACAAAATTTTACTGCAAGACTATAATATTGAGATTATACTGTTGCTTGTTTGCCTGCAGATTCCGGAGCAAGCGCCGCCTAGTGCATTTGTATAACAATACTGAAAGAGTCATATTTGTTGCCCTACCCATTGACTCTGTGTTTCTTCTGTAGCAAAGAAGCTCAGTTATGAAATTACGGGTAGAAAAGTATTTAAAAATGAGTTTTGTCAATCTTCTTACGATCATCTGTCTATATGATTTTTGTCAAACTATTAAGGTTCAAAATGTTGCCATAAAGGTCTGAAAGACTAAAATCTTGAATGAAAAACTGTTCTTTAGGTAAAAAAAAGAACTCATATCAAGAAGGTATTCACATTCTTAGAGCGTCACATTCTTAGAGCGGTAGTTAAAAATTTGAGAAAATTACCTAGAGTAACTTACGATTTTCTTATAACAATAGAATAACCCATAAATATTTTATAACTCATATAACTTACTAATCACTAACAAAAATCAATAATTCCTAAATTACCCTTATTTGTTTTATAATTTTATTTTCAATTGGTTTTTATAAACTAATTATTATTTACAGAAAAATCAAATAATATTTTTTTTATTAAAGGAAATTGGTATCTCTAGTTTTAACCCTAAATCAAATGTAATAAATTACAAAGTTTGGATGCCAACATAGAAAATTTGACAGACTTATGTGAAGTTTACAAGTTTCCGTTAGATTTCAAATTGAATTTTAGCAGACTGATTATTAGCCTGCAAACATTTCGCAGACATTCGTAATGTCTACAAATATCCGGCAAACTACAAAACTAATCAGGTGGACTTACTTTCAATTTGGGGATGATCGGTAGACTTACGGGAAATCTGCATGTTGTTAAGAGACTTCAAAATTCTAGCCAGCAGACTTGTATTTACTTTACGAAAAGTCGACAGATGTTCCTATAGTCTGCATATTCTAAGTAGACTTAAAAATACTATCTTGTAGACTATCTGCAAGTCTGCAAAGAAAATTTTCAAATCTGGCAAAACCACATGGACTTTATGCCAGTCTGCTGGTTTGGATTTTGAAATCTGTTTAAATCACATAGACTTCATGTAAATCTGTCGGTCATCAGCAAACCGAAAAATAGTCTGCGGGATTGGTTTTGAAGTCTTCTGCAGATATGTAGACTTCTCAAATGTCAGCCAATTATCTGCAGACTTGTAATTAGTCTGCATGATTAGATTTTAAAGTTTATCCAAGAGTTGTAAATTTTACATAAGTCTACTGAAAATTTGTAGACTTTATGAAAGTCTACCGAATGTCTATAAACTTCTCTAGAAATGAGTGTGAAACTGACTATTGGAGTCTGCAAAAAAAACTTGTCGACTTTATACAAATTTACCAAGTGTTTATAAACTTTATATAAGAGCCTACATATGAAATCTTTAAAAATACATAAACTCAAAAATCTATTAGAACATGGTAGATTTCACATGTTTTTTGTCTTCTATATTAAAACGTTTTAGTTACCTTAATATCTATAAACTTAATTTGAATGATTTTATTCCTTGTTCACCATGGGTTTTAAAACCTTAAAAAAAGTAGTAGTATAAGGAACAATATACACAATCTATGAATCCGAGGAACATAATCAAATAGAAATTAGCCAAGTTACAATTTTGTAAAGGAATTATAAAGTGGACAGCTTTTGGAGAATTGTACCTTCGTTGATGGCTCATGAAAAAAAAAGGGAAAATAACTCAACAATAATTTTCAAAAATGGATTTCTATTTTAAAAATCGAACGTTTACTTTTTCAATAACCTGTTGATGTGTTTTAATGTTTGTTTTATTTACTCTAATTGGATTTTCGTTTTGAGTTATTTTATGTCAATTAGTAATGAATTTGCTTTAATTATTATATTTGGTATTTATGTAATAAATAACATATTTTAAAGGTATTATAGAGAAAATACCTTCCAGAAAATGTGTTAATTTTTCCAATCATATATAAAACAGTACAAATTATTTTCTGTTGAGTTTTGAGTTTGTAATTATCGATTAGAAGAAAAAAGTTATGTTTAAATCTTGTACTGTTTTACATGAAAATGGTTAATACGACACAAATAAATATAGGGACATTTGTTACAATAACTTTAAAAATATGAGAAATAGATAATGTTATAAATTATTAATATAATATTATTATAAGGCTCATATCATAAATATATTTAAGCGGAATGGTATTATTCAGTGAGATATAGTAAGATATAAGTATGATTAAGTTTTTGTAATGCTATATATCTCTCATTATTCATGAAATACATTGTTGTATATATTCCGTGAATAATGAAAACTATATATAACATTACAAAAGACTTAGTTAAAAAACTTAATTAAAAGTTAAAACTATATATAACATTACAAAAACTTAATTAAAAACCTTAGTTAAAACTATATATAACATTACAAATATTTAGTTATTACAAAAACTTAGTTAAAAACCTTAGTTAAAACTATATATAACATTACAATATATAACATTACAAAAACTTAGTTATGC